ATTATTAATTCCACCGTACTAAATAATAATTTATTAAAATCAAAAAAATATATATTATCCTTATCTAAATTCCAAATCCCAATTCAAAATAATATGTTATTTATAAAACAAAAATTATATTATTTATAAATTTTATACAAATTATAAATATTTCCAATTATATTATTCATAATAAAATTTCCAAATATTTATTATATAATATATAATAAAAATTAATATATTTTATAATAGGATATATCCATAATATTTCATAAGCCAAATATATTGTTAAAATACCCAATTAAATAAATATGTATCAATTTTATTTTTGTAATTCTTTTCAGATCAAACCTCTCATTCAAAAAATAAATCTCATTTTTGTAATTATTATCCAACCAAGCCCAGCCTTTATTCATTTTCTGCTTTATAGATGCCCAAACCTCCGCCGCTAAATCGTCATTTATTGCGGCCAGTTGTTTGCAAGTATTCTTGTTCAGTTCCTGTGCTATGTTATGGACAGCCTCCAGCGAATATTCCGGTCAATTCAAAATAGTTGGAAAAATCTTGACCTTAGATAATCAACCAGAGAATTTAAAATATTATGAAATATTTATAATTGAGTTTCCTCTGCTTTAATTTTCACAAAAATTATACTAATGACATATGACACATACCAGCTGCTGCCTAGACAATTAGACCTAAAGTAGATCTCGTAGATGTACTTCTCGAAAACAATGACGGATTTCCGAAAATAACAATCGTAGACCCACCACAAAAATAACCGTCAAATAACTCGTCGTGACATCGAAAATCAGATTGTGACAACCGTGCATCTATAATGTGTCTGCGTTGGGGTTCTGAGCTTAGCCCCTTGCTATGTCAGGAAAAAAGCAGGTACGTGACAAAGGCGTCCCTTCGTCATATCACCATAGAAAGGCAGTGTCTTCGTTGGTGGATGACTGCCAGACCATGCATCCACCCCCTGTTGGAAACAATTCTCGTGGCAGTGAGCATGAAAAACGTGAATCCGAAGTTTTACATCTGTACGGATGTGTCACACACACACACACCACCCGCGCACACACACACACCCCACACACACACACACCACACACACACACAACACACACACACCCACCCCCTCACACACACACACGTCCATATCTCATCATGACATCTAGAACATCTTGCTTTGTAAATGTATGCCTGATAGCTACAGAGCGATCTGTTCACACTGTGGCATAGTACTAGCATTGCTGGAGGTCTCTGGCTTGAACATCCTGGACCTCCATGCCATCTCTGGCTTGAACATCCTGGACCTCCATGCCATCAGTATGCGGAGCCATGTCATGTTGGATGTATTGAGTGTACTGTGCCAACGTTTGTACATCGATGAATCCAACCATCCAGAACCATCCCATCTCCGCAACCGCCCCATTTCACCATGTCTCCAACACAAAGCAAGGTCAGCAAGGCCAGCAGAAAGCCACTCAGAGTCCATGCTGGTTGCCAGCCCTGGGGAATAACTGCTGAAACTGAAGGGCTGAAAAAAAAACACAACTTATTCGGCCTCTGAAAAGCTACTTGGAGAGAGCATTTTTACGATGTTGTTTTCCATGGAAAATGGTGGGCTCTCACATCTAGATATTCCAGTTTCGCGATGGTATCTTTGTTAATTCTTTTTGTGAAGCGGTCAGACTTCACACATCTTATCCCCCTGGCGGCCTCTGGATGGTAGTCCATTTGAGTGCGGCAAAGCCAGGTATCCACCTGAGCAACGATTGATCGGTTACCTGGCAGTGCATTTGTCAGATATATGGAACGGAATCACCAAAGAAAATGAACACGCTTGCTCTCCTTCCAGCTGAATACACACACACACATATATATAAATATATATATCTACTTATTTTGGTGACAAGATGCTGTGCGAACATGCCACAATATGAACAACAGCATAGCACACGCAGCTGCTTGTTTTGACCAATGGGGTATTCGCTCTGAGATCACATCCGTCTCGCGTTCCGGACGGTGTGGCTAGGGTTGTGAGTCTGACGAGTCGTCAATATATTCAATGGCCGGTAGGGAATGGTGGATTCGTAAGTGTTGCCGGAGGCCATGAACAATCGAAAGAGTCAGCACCAGCTTTGTGAACTGAAGTTGGTGAACAGCTGACTGCGAGTGGGCCAAACTTTCGATGATTGAAAGGCGAACAGGATGATGTTCGCTCGGGGTATCATCCAAGATATTGTTCAAGGCGACGATTTGATCCTCTAATTACCACAAACAAACTACACTACTTTGGACCGGCCCACGGCGACTCCACCAGGCTTAGGTCCTCCAGAGTACTAGTCTAAGTCTAGCATTCAACTCGTGGACCGGCCAACGGCGACTCCACCAGGTCCTCCAGTCTAGCAAGAACTACAGTACCTTGGACCCGCCAACGGCCTGCAATCTTTCAGTTTGACTAGAAGTGCCATGAGTCGCTGAAGCGAAACTTGGGACATGGCACAGAAACTACGTTGCAACGGAGGGACACTTGTCCGGCTAGAGCCGAATCACATGATAAGGCTGGTTGCAAACGTACAAGGGTGGGAAAACGAAGTAGGGTTGGGTCGAAAAACTCAGTAACTTGTGTTGTGGGGCTCACTCGAGCCCACTGACCACGTGACCCATGAGTGTCACTCAACACGTAAACTTCAAAATTGTGTCATGTTCTTTGACCCTATAAAGATATAGTGTCAAAAACATCATCTTTACTCAAAATCCGCCCACACCGCTTTGGCGGTGAAGGCGTGCTTATTGGGGGGCAACAGCAACACTAAATGCTCAATGACATTTGTTAATATAGCAGTCGCTATATCAGCTTTAGCTGGGGGGGGGCCAAAAACGGTTTAGCACCGAGACCAGAATACGGTGGTGTTTTCGACATTTTTCGACGATTTTTGGGTGTCTGAGCGCAAGAGGGTATTGAAATGGAATTTTGGGTCATTTTGGTAGCTTTCCGGCAATGGAAAAACGGCCAAAAATGAAAAAAACATTGTACATAGCAAGATTTTGCAGGGTTTTTGGATGCCAGAGCATTGAAAACACTGCAAAAACAAGTGTTTTGGACTGACGTTATAGCAAAAAACGTGTAAATTACCGTATGCTTGACTGGAAACATTACAAAAACACTGTCAAAAGCAATGTTTTGGAAGGATTTACTGCCTTTATGGCAAAAAACGTGTAAATTACCGTCTGTTTGACTGGAAACATTGGAAAAACACTGTCAAAAACAATGTTTTGGAAGGATTTCTTATATATATGTTGGAGTTGGCTACCGGCATTGGCACATGGAAAAATTGAAGAAAACACTGTAAATAGCGGTATTTTCAACGGTTGGGGAGATAAGGGAATTGGAAGCATTGTCGAACATGATGTTTTCGACCGGTTTTATGGCGACAAAAGTGTAAAGTACCGTGCTTTGAAGGAAACCATTGCAAAAACATGGAAACACATTCAAAGAACACGGGATTTGGGGGACTATCTAGGCGTCGTTGTCTAGCTATTTGAAATTCCGCAGCTTGGAGAGTCTCCAAGGGAGGGAAAAGTGAAAATTCCATAGCTTGGGAAGCTGTCACGGCGGGGAAAAGTGAAAATTCCCTAGCTTGGGACGCCCCCACGGGGGGGGAAAGTGAAAATTCCCTAGCTTGGGGAGCCCCCACGGGGGGGGAAAGTGAAAATTCCCTAGCTTGGGGAGCCCCCACAGGGGGGAAAAGTGAAAATTCCCTAGCTTGGGGAGCCCCCACGGGGGGGAAAAGTGAAAATTCCCTAGCTTGGGGAGCCTTCACGGGGGGGAAAAGTGAAAATTCCCTAGCTTGGGGAGCCCCCACGGGGGGGGAAAGTGAAAATTCTTGGCTTGGGGAGCCCCCACGGGGGAAAACCACCCTTAGCCCCTCTCACGGACCGAAATAAACCTGCGGTGTGGGCGGCCACCCCACGCGAAGCGGGGTGAATAATATTCCATCAACAGCTGAGTTACATTTTATTTTGGTGACAAGATGCTGTGCGAACATGCCACAATATGAACAACAGCATAGCACACGCAGCTGCTTGTTTTGACCAATGGGGTATTCGTTCTGAGATCACATCCGTCTCGCGTACCTCCCCTGGTCTTGAGACGGCTTTGCACATTCTTCGGTTACACATGCATCCCACCTTTCAAGCAGGTCAACAGGCGTAGTTGGTACGCCAGCATACTCCAGCAACTTCTTTCTAGACAGCTCGTCGGCTGGGTTGGAAAAGGACGGAACACGCTCTATCCAAGTCATTAAACCCAAACTTTCTTCCAAGGAACATATCGACCTCACTATGAGGTTCATGTGGTGGTTAGTGGATTTGCACTTAATCAAGGAGGCCTGAGCGCCCGAGTTGTCAGTGAATACCACCAATCTTTTCCCTTTGATGTGTTCTTTGAAAACTTCCAGAGCCACCGCAATTGCTAACCCTTCAAGCTCAAAGATTACTGTCTGTTGGTCTTCTCTTTTGATTTTGGAAACCAACTCCTGTGAGACCTCACTGAAGCAACCCAAACATTGCCCGCTGGAATCCAAAACAAGGCCCCCTAGGCCTGAATACTTTCCGGGCTCAAAAGAGGCGTCTACATAGACATGCACCCAATCAGTGAAGTTCACATCCACTGGTCTGAGCAAATTGGACTCGAGAAGTTCCGACATGAGCTCCAAAGCCGTCGCGAACTCGTCTGTTATCTTGCGGAAACCTCTGTTGACGTGGGAATTCAGCTCTTTCATACAGTTGCGGAACCTCCTACCGCACAACTGGTTTGAGGCAAACTGCAATCTCCCACGCAATCTTTCCCCTTCTACCCTGGACAGCGCTCTGCTCGACAAAACATCAGCTATAAAGGCTAGGAGCTCAGTCTTTCGGGATTCAGTGTTTTTGACGGTCATGATCCCAGAAAGGCTTCGACACAAATCAACTTCCACCCCCAGGACCTTGCAACACTGCGCATAGGGCATTAGTTTATCTTCGAGAGTCTCCAACCTAGCAACTGGAAAAGAGTCGACACACACAGGTCCGTGTGCCTGTCTAAGCATTCGGGCGTGATGCTCAAAAAGTCATCGAAATAAGAGGTCCGGGCCAATTTCAAAAGGTTGCTCCCCACCTGCCAAATTCCTAGAGCGCATCTCAGAAAGGCAGTGAAAGAAGCGATGGATCCAAAAGGAAGAACGGCCTGCTTATATATTTCGGGACTACGGGTGTCGGGGTTATAGACCACTATGTAGGAGTCGGCGTCGTAAGCATGGTCAGAAAGCGGTATCTGTTTGTATGCCGCTGCAAGATCCCAGCACTTCGCAACGAGTTGTGTGGCTCCATGCTGTTGCTGCGCTGCTGCCATGAGGGCGGACCCAAGACAAGCCACATGGTCTATATCGTGCAAAGTTACCACCTCCACCTGGGTTACAGAGGAGTTTACCAGGCTAGCTTTATAGTCATCTATGGGTCTTACTTTATCCTTTTGGGCCACTCCAAAGCGGCGAGTCAGCGTGGCTCCTGGAGGAATTGACGCTGCATCCACAGGCCCATGGAGGAAGCCCATCTCTTTTTCTTTCAAGGTGGCTTGCAGGACGCCTGCATCAACTTGGGCATTACCAGAACTCCGGACGTTTGACAAAAGCGCACACCTGGCTCGGTCGGCTATGCTACGCAGGGCATCGGTGGGGAGCGGAACTTTTTGTCAAATTGGTTGAATTCTGGCAACTTCCCTGTCAGGTCGAAACCATTGCATATGTCTTCCACCAAGTTCACGTCATTCGAACCTGCTTCCACCAACAGTTCCTTGAAGAGCAGCAGTCTTTTCTTTTCAAGGATCGCCCGGCGTCTGCCTGACATGTCCCCTTTGAGTGCGGCCTCATGGTCGGCCAACTGCGCAGCCCGGTGAATCATCTTTCTCAGGACCTGTGCTGTGCCACTTCTTGCGGTGATCGGGTTGTGATGAACTCCACTGCATTCTTCATAGGCTCAGGCAGTTGGTCAAGGTTCTGGCCAGGGTGTCCTGCGGCAATTGCAGCATCCATGAATTCCCGTGGACTTCTAAGAATGCCTATGGTCTTATATCCTACCCTCGCGACATCCCCCAGTAAAGGAGTGGTAAGAAGTTTGGCATTGTGTGGGACGGGTGCGGCAGCAGGGATTTGGGCTGTATGTGAAAACTCTGGGACTTAAGGAAGGCCGGTGGCCGTGTGCTGCATGAACGTCTGCTGTCGTATTCCATCAAGTTGCCTGGCATGTTTGGCAAAACTTGGCGTTGGACAACACACTCCATGGTTTTGGAGGTGCAGGGCAATCAATGCAGCAAGTCGGCGACTGAGGGGCCAAGGGTAGGCCGTTTCCTGGGCTGTTGCCCACCCTGTGTCGCTTCGGCCCCATGCTTCGTGTGGGTGACTATTGTCACAAAAGAGCTGCATGTCACACACAGTTTTAATGTTATGGACTAAGCAGGTATGTTTACGCCTGGAGGAACCATACATGCAGTGATGAAAATGAGTGCAAAAGTGAGGCACTTCCTGGAGGAACTTGGCAAAGGGTGTGGTGTGGTGTCCCACATGAAACTCCTCGCAGGGTTTTCAATAGTGTACAGGACTCCAAAAGCATGACAAAGTCTGCACAAATCTTGAGTAATCTCATAAAGCTGATTTGCGGATGTAACTTTGGCGGCAAGGTTTGGGAGACCATTCGGGTGAGCGTCTGTTCTAGGCACTGGAGGGTTGAAGCGTCCCTCACGTTTGATGAAACGAGCTGTGCTTGAAGTGCCACATGGGGCGCAAAGTGCACGTAGATACAAGCGTCTTCTTGAATTATTTTCTTGAGAAACTGCAAACATTCTGGTTTCAGAAGGTCAAGCTGTAAAACTGGAGCGGCCAAGTGATTTGAGATTATGTGATCGACTCCAAACGAGTCCCTCAAACCAAGGTGCCGCAGCGATGCCGTCAGGCGACTAGTTCCTGCAAAAACCTCAATTGCAAAAAGTTCATGCGATGTCTTACCGGTGCATTTGGCTGACAACCTAGCTTCGAAAGATGCAAATGGTCCGGGATCAGACTGTGGTAGTCATGAATGGTTTGGCAAGCCATGGGGCTTGTGGCACCCTGGCTCGGCGCATACATGGACGCCCCTGCTGCATTGGCCTCCCGGTGCGGCTTCGGTGCACCCAGTTGGCAAGTTGTACGGCCAACAGATCCTACGTCCATCTGGAGTCTCCAAGGACTTGCCGACGAGGTCTCTGGAAACATTGGGACCGCGTCCACGTTTGGTTTTGGATTTCCCTTTGCCTTTTCCTTTCCGACCGCCCTGACCTTTGGACGTGGATGTGTCCTTTGCTGCGGGAGGCTTGGTGTCTTCATGCTTGCGCTTGTTCTGGTTGTTCGGATTTGCTTTTGGTGCAGGCTTTGCAGGCATATGCGTTGCCAGGGGCAACAAGTGGAAGCTTACACTGGGTCGAACCAACACTTTAGGCAA